ACCTAATAAAACAACAACAACAACAATTGAAATTAATAAGTTATGCCATGTATTTTTGTATCAGTATCCGAAATAGAAATAAAAGTGAAAATAAGCAACAATGTTTTTTTTTTACAATATGGATACTCTTAGGTTTATAATAAAAATACATCGTGTTTTTCAGAGTTATATAGCTTACAAATAAAATGATAATTTCCAAATATTTATGTATTATGCATTAGTAGTTTCAAGTTATACATGTTAAAATTCCATATGATTTTGAAACACTTTTCCAACTTTTGAAATAACAGTTATAATGACACAATATATTAGGGCTTTCAAGCTACATTGTATAATTAATAGATTTAAATTTGTAAAGTGGACATTACCTAAAAGTCCTTTTTTGTCAAAGGATGAAACCTCGTTTTTCGAAACATCTTCTTTACTGACTTTTAGGTTTAAGGAAATATGCAAACGAATTGAAATAACGTAGACATAATTTCGTTTTCGTTACAGTTATGATAAACAAATTAATAACAGCATTTATTGAAAGAAGTCATTTCTAAAAACGTTTCTGAAATCAAATATATTGCCAGGTTTTCTTGTCTATGTTTAAACAAGTCTTACTTTGCCCGTTTTCTCTTCTCTTCTAAGTTCTGCTGCCGAAGATAATCGAGTTGATTTTGCATTTCGATGACCATTTGTTCTGACTCTTCTAGCCGTTTTTCCAACACATCTCTTTCCTGAACAACAGCCAACAGACTTATGTAAAACCACATTCAACAGCCTTTTATCAAATATAAATCGGGATTATGAAGTGTATTAACTCGCTGGATTACCGGAGCATTTTAGTTACAGTTACGATTTCACTCACCAAAACAAAAGCCCTGTTAGACTTGAACTCCAACAAGAGTTTCAAAAAAGTGTCTTTATGTTTACCTTTAAAATCAATCCTTACACAATTTGAGAGTTACAACTATTAGGTAACAAGTAACAACAGATGTGTTTGTTTGTTTGTTGAATTTAGCCTAAAGCTGCTCGAGAGCTGTCTGCGCTAGCTGTCACTAATTTTGAAGTGAAAGACTAGAAGAAAACAGCTAGTCAACACGACCAACCGCCAACTCTTGAGCTACTATTTATCAACGAGTAGTGAGATTGCACGTCATTATATAACGCCTCACGGCAGAAAGAAAGAGCATTATTCGTGGATGGATTTGAACCTGCCACTCTCTGCGAGTCGAGTGCCATAGCAACTAGGTCATATCAGAATAAAAGGAATAATAAAATCCGCTATCTGTAGGATCTAAGATATTAGATTACTAGTACGTTTAGAGGAGCCAAAACTATTTCACGATTTTTGTGATTAGGATTGACATGTTTAGAATGTTTTTGTTTTTTTTTACGTTTAGGATTTAGTATATTTAGAGAATTTTGCTAAACGTGTTTAATTTTTAACGTCCTATATATATGTGTGTTTTTTATATCAAAGGCATATCGGGCTATCTTCCGTGTCCACCCAGGGAAATCGAACTCCTAATTTTAGTGTTACAAATCCTTAGACGTCGCGCTGTCCCACCAGGGAACTTTGAACTTCCTGATAAGGAGATATGTACTGATTTCGATAATTATTGACAGAGTCTTGCCCACTACATATAAATGTGCCCTACCTTAGAACACTGAGAATAGAAACGACAGTAAATATAAATGTACTTTTTCGCCTCAGCCAGATAAATTACTTATATTTTTAATCAAAACATTCAACTCGTGTCGTAAGTCATTAACAATGACATGCTGCTTTCGTCTGGGAATGTATAGGCCAATTTACGAATAGGGCATTCATTTCAGACTTCAATCTAACCAATTTGTAAATCTGACTGAAAAGTGTCAAATTCTAACTAAATGTACAAACGCTCTTTACTCACAATGCAACGAATCGTTATAACTTGTGTCAAGATTTGCATGAATCAGGCGAAGCACATCAACTTAATCTAATATAAATTAACAACTATATCTGACTCTAATTCTCATTAAAGCCGTTTCTATTCTCAGTGTTCTAAGGAAGGGTACATTTATATTTAAAGCCGTTTCTATTCTCAGTGTTCTAAGAAAGGGCATTAAGCTTTTGTGTAAATATATCACAGTACGAAAATTTGACTGCGAAACCACGAGTCAGATCATGTGTCTATTAAAGGTTAACCCCAAAATAAAAAATAAACATTTACAAGCTGCACTTCTACTTACTGTCTAAACAGTTACTTGAATTAACAAAAACTTTGCTAAGAACAATAATTGGTAAAATTATCTTCTGTTAAAATGTTCGGGTGCAGATGATACTTGATTCAGCAAAATAACTCCTCTATACTGATTATAATAAGGATAAATTTTAAAATTAGATTGTTTTAAAACTGTAGTTAAAATGTTGATCATTTTGAAAACAAGCAGAATGAACACTACCAATTAATATTTACCATTCATATGTTTAATGTTAAACGTGAGCAAGTCTACCTTAAGAACAAGCTATCCTATTTACCTTTTGGAGTTTGACGTTTTCTTGTTTTGCCACAACGTCAGTGGTGTTTAACTCCAGTAACTGTTGTTCCATCTGAGAAATTTATAACAATTATCATCTGACCAGTATACACACGAAATAACGTAATGCTCACGAAACACTTGTTCCTTCTTGTTCACGCATATATTACAATATATAAATAATTAATAAAATATATTAGAAAATAAAACCAGTTATCCCATACCTAAATATATATATATATATATATATATATACTTATAACATCCCTAAGCTAAGATCGGAACTAAATTTTAAAAAAATGTGTGAAAAATCTTCATTTGCGTCTATAAAAACTAATTCGGTTTTGCCCAATAAACTTGAAAAACAAGAACAACAGACAATGAGGAAACAGATATTTTATTCTTTGAGCATTAATTTGTTCTGAATAATGGTAACGGAGGAAAATTAGCTACCTTCCCTGCGAATGTCAGGACGATTCTGAAACTACGGTCACGTGATAGTAAAACATCTGGTCTACAGGCGAATGTAAACTGGACTAACCACACTTGTAAAATGACTCCAAAATTTGATCAGCGAATGGATGAGTACCTGACTCTCCTTCCGAAGAGAGATATTCACAGAGAGAGATTGTTAATCAACGCAGAGACATTTTTCAGAAGTATGGTAAGCAGATAGAACATGATTGTCAGGTAAAACAAATTCCTCAGAACCGGCTAGTTGAATTAATCATCGTTTCCAAAAAGTGCAATTATCCTTATGTTCAACAACAAAGACGTTTCTAATCTAAGAAACCTAACAAGCAGTAATGAAAATATAAATACTATATTATGTTTAAGATACTTTACAATCCATAAAACAATGGATATAGTATATATAATCTAATGCATCTTACAACAAATATATACGAATACAAATAAAGTTTGTAATATTTAATATCTCATAATCAGGTTACATTTACAACTCGTTACAAAAACGAATCAAAATATGTTGTAGACTACTTCATAAACCATACATGACTTAAAGACTATTTAAACAAATGCTTATTTGAATTATACTTATAACACTAGAACATCTGTCGTATGGATTGGAAAATATTGTGTAGCTAAAATTTCATTAGAAACAATTAAAGACATAATTATTTAATATTACAAAGTTAAATGTTACCAAAAATAGTGTACAATCTTTGTTGAAGCCTTAAAAGTTAAACAAGGTTTTGTAGTAAAATTTCAGATGAAAGTTGTGTTTTGTTTACAATAGGCATAACTTTTTTCATTTCTATCAGCTTAATATAATTATTTTGGTGAATTTGAGAAAAATAAAATTCACTTTAAATACTCAGTTCAGTTCTGTGTATGAATATTGACACGGTTGAAAAGTGGGAATGTATATCACGACATATAGAAAACGAATAAAGCGTGTGAATTATGCCACCGATGGATCAGGGAAGAGTTAGAGAATGAGTTGAACTCGAAGAACAAGCAGCTCCAAGAGCTTCTCAGTAAACACAAAGAGGGTTTCTCCCGGTTTTTCTCCTGCAAGTAGGAATGATAAAGAATGATTGTGATCATAATCTAGCACATGAGTAATTTTTATGTTCTTTCAAGGACAAAGCAATGTTACACAACAGTATCTGAAGAATAATTGTGCGAATCTAAATACTACAAAGACAAAGAATGGTTTATCCATGTATCTTACTTGAACACCATCATTTTGCTTTATATGTTAAGGATTTCGTTTTTAAAAGAGAGAAAAAAAAACTGTCAACCATCAGTGGTTTGAAGCAACTATAAACGGAGACATTACTTACAAATTACATAGAGCCTCACATAGCACCTAAAGCATGTGAATTGAGTCTATTGGGTACCGAGTAAGCCGCCATGACATGTGTGTAAGCGTGTCTATTTTATGAAAATTGATCTATGGTATGCTTTGCTATATCATAATACACAGAGTGTCCTTACTGAAAATAAAGCTCAAACCGAGAGGTAGCTTTACGTCTTCCTTTTGTTTATTTTTTGTTATAACTGCACAAATTTCATTGTGTTCTCTAGAGACATTTAACATGTGTCATATCCTATATCACCACTCTATAACTCTAGAGCAAGTAATTAAGTTTATGCTGAAGTTAGCTTGGCCAGGATCTCTTCGCTTTACGCAATTTATGCTGATATTAGCAAAGTCACTACTACTGTGAAGATAACTACCTATCTACTCAGGGGTTATCTACGCGTATCTGTTGCTAATTTTGAACTGATAAAACGAATGTGTTTGTATTATACTGTATTTATGACAAAGCTACTAAAGCTATCTTCTGTCGTCCCCGATTTTGAACTACTAACCAGAGGGAAGGCAACCAGTAAGCAGCACTCTACCACCTACAATCTACACTAAGGTAGAATTTTATTGTCACCCACGAGTTGGGTACAAGATTTTGTTTTTGTTGTCAGTAACGGGACGTAAACCACGGAACCTCAGATCCACAGTTTGGCACATTAACCATTACACTTTGCTCGGCCCAGTAGTTCAAGAGTATACAAGTAAACAAAACTTTTCGTAGCTATTCATCGATTTGAACCTATCTTCAAACAGGGGTATTTGGCTAGCATGATATATATATATATATATATATATGACTGTATTGTTGTATGTAAAATATTTGCGATGTGAAGATAAAACAGCCCGGTGATGAATTTTTCGTTAATTAATATACTGCTCTGGACCGAAATACACCAATATTATTAAAAACTAAAAAAAACCGCCAAAAGTAAAAACTGTGGGTACATAAAAATAATGGTGGTAATAAAATGATTAAATTTGGAAATGTATTATTATATAGGTGTTTCAAAATGTATTATTATATAGGTGTTTCAAAAACAGACACATGTTATATACCTCTAATAAAAGCTGATCTTTTTCTGCTTTCATTTGCTGTTCCATTTCTTCGTACAAGTTCTTGACATGTTCATCGTGCAGGTTTGTACGGCTATAAATCGAACACAAAAGGTTAAAATTTGATTCTAATGTCCGAGTTGAATAGCAGAAAATTATAATAATATAATCATTTTAATCTGATTATCTTACAAAGAGAATCATATTACGCTAACTTTATCATAATTACGAAAGCTGGGATTGATCAGGTTAAACCTGTGTATCGTTTTTAGTCCGACTTGATCAGTTTTTAAAACTCTCTCTTTTAACACATTTTCTAAGCAGTAAATTTAAGTCGTTGACACCTGTGCTGTTAATGCTTTTCTCAAGTTTACATCCCACATGGTAATCATTCTAAAAAGGGTTACACCTGACGAATGGGCATATAGTTGTAGTAGATGAACATTAATGAGGTCAACTTAATGTTAAGTGTGAGAAAATATAAGGCAAAAGATCTTTGATTGATTATTTTAAATATTATCATCAGACAGAAGGATACTTACTTTTTTAAGGTTGTTTCTAGTGACGTATACTGATTTTGGACATTTTTTAGTTCTTTGGAGACTTTTGACAGAAATTCCTCGAAGTTTGAAAGCATTGATGAGTCATCCTTACGAAGATGGTTCCATAGCTGGCGAATATAATCCTCACTGAAAAATTAAAAACAGTTAAAGCACAGATAAAAATATAACAACTTCTTTCCCAAAGATGGTTTATAAGCTTAGGTCTATAGAAATTAAATAAGAGAGGAAATTATAGAAAGAATAGTATTACTGATATAATCTTAACCACTTTCCCCATCAACTGAGAACCTAAACTTCCTTTAAGAAATACATTATTTCTGCATTAAAAAATTGTTAAAAAAATAAAACACAGAAAAAACACGTTGTTAAATTTGTTTAATTTCCCCCGAGATTAATAAGAAAATGCTATGATTGCCAAAAAGTTTGGATTATTGCATTTCCTAATCATATGCAGAAAACGATACGGAATTCTTCAGCGTAAAGAAACTATAACAAGTTTAAAATTTATATACATTCTATGAAACTTTTAAAACAAGAACAACGTTTTCAAACAGCCATAGAAAACTAACATGCACTTGAACATTATTTGATGGAAGATAGATATGGTTGATAGCGCTTTCGCAACGTTAAAGCTGACTCCATTCAATCACCAAAAACTAACGAGACAAAATGCTAATAGCAGTGCAATAAAAAGGACAACTTTTATAGGATCTGAAAGCAATTTAAATCTCATATCAATATAGCAAACAGTTATTTACGAGATGATCTAGATTTAATTTTCTAAATTTTTTTACTGAACTTAAGACTCAGTGTTTTTATTATTCTGGTTGGCACATATATTTACTCTAATATTGAATTCAAACTTGGTATTATAGCTGTTATTTTTAAAGTGATAGATACCCTGACTTTGAAACTCTTAATTTATCACGACTATTATTGATTTTTTTATTCCTAAATAAGATGAACTGTAATCGCTTCCTACTTATGCTGTTTTAGTTACAGGATTTTTTAGAAGAACAAAATGTATACATTAATAAGTAATAGATATGATACAAGATGCATCGAGGATTGTGAACCATTCTTTAAAATGGAAATTTTATTCTCAAATCAAATTTGCTGCTCATCTTTTCTTCATATCTTGGTTGAAACATTGAATGAAATACCGACACATTTTATAAACTTACAAACTCTCATGATTATTTATATTTAACTTGTGATCACCTTCGGCATTTTGAATACCCATTATTGTTTAGCGTGTTCGCCAGTATTAACCTGTTCTTACAAGAATTAATATACAGATATCTAGAGTTTTACGATCAATCCGGACTTCTTCAAGCAATAAACGGACACTAAGTAACACAACTTTACTATGAACCTGCACTTCATTGAGCATCAAACGGACTAAGTAACACAACTTTACTATCAACCTACACTTCATTGAGCATCAAACGGACTAAGTAACACAACTTTACTATCAACCTGCACTTCCTTAAACATCAAATGGACCATGTAACACAACTTTACTATCAACCTGCACTTCCTTAAACATCAAATGGACTATGTAACACAACTTTACTATCAACCTGCACTTCCTTAAACATCAAATGGACTATGTAACACAACTTTACTATCAACCTGCACTTCATTGAGCATCAAACGGACTAAGTAACACAACTTTACAATCAACCTACACTTCATTGAGCATCAAACGGACTAAGTAACACAACTTTACTATCAACCTGCACTTCCTTAAACATCAAATGGACTCTAAGAAACACAACTTTATTATCAACCTGCACTTCCTTAAACATAAAACGAGATCTATGTAACACAGCTTTATTAACAATCGAGTATTTGTTTTTGTAGGTTGGTTGAAAAGCAGCGTTTACGCATGCGTAAGCTATACCACGTTATTTATCACTTATTAAATGAAGTTAAATTTGGTTTCAGCACACAAATGTTTTTTTTTTCATACACTGCGCTAAAGATGTTTACTTTTTTAACCTTGTCTGTCTATCTATTTATATAAATATTCATTACGTATATAGCTATTTTTAAAGTATACAGTATATTATATACAAAAAAGAGAGAGAAAAAACTGACTTACTCGCTAAACAGGTTTTGGGCACCAAGTTGATCAATAAGTCCCTGAAACTGTTCTTCTTCGTTTTCATCTTCTTCTTCTATTGTTGTATTGCTAGTCTTAAAGGACTCATAATCCTCCTCCATATTCTTATCTTTTTTACTTTGAGGCTGGGTGTCAAAACCAAGAAACATTCCTACGTTCCCAATATATTTAAATGAACTTCAGCCCCAAGATTCAAAACATACTGAAATTATTCTAATGTCTGATATAGACCATTTATAGGTGGTTTAGTACAACATGCTGACATTATTTCTTAGCTTAGGAACTAATATACTTAAATTATATTTAGAAAGTCCAGCGCATCATTAACATTCTAGCTTTCAATAGCCAATATGTATAGGTGATTCAGAGATTAGGTTCCAATCAATGTAGGGGGGGGGCAAATAAAAAAGCCTGACATAATTATTATGAATGTCGTGTGAGTATCATATTCCACAGAAAAAAAGTGGGGTACGATTGCTCCCTCTCTCCAAGTAATCCTACCTATGGTTCAAACGTAACGTGATTCTTATGGTTATAATTGAAAATGTTTTAATTATCCTGAAACTTAGAGTCAGATAAATTACAACCTTTGTAATTTTGATTATTCAGTACATCTTTTTTTTTCTTTTAGATTCTAAAACATTTCTGGAATGTTTACGTTTAGAATCCACACATTTACGTAATTCATAAATTTAATATGAAAACAGGTTTTCCTGGATCAAACTCTTAGGATTCAACAGATATAAATGATGTTTAAACATTAATATATTTTCATGAATAATACGATTTTTTAAAATAAATGTATTTTCCCCGCTGTCATACTTAGGTTAATATATATAATTACATTATGTTTTTGTTTGTTTTTTGGATTTCGCGCAAAGCTACACGAGGGCTATCTGCGCTAGCCGTCCCTAATTTAGCAGTGTAAGACTAGAGGGAAGTCAACACCACCCACCGCCAACTCTTGGGCTACTCTTTTACCAACGAATAGTGGGATTGACCGTCACATTATAACGCCCCCACGGCTGAAAAGGCGAGCATGTTTGGTGGGACGGGGATTCGAACCCGCGACCCTCAGATTGTGAGTCGAGCGCCCTAACCACCTGGCCATGTCGGGCCTAATTACATTATATCGATACTTAATGTCAATTACTTCCGTACAATTCTAACATTTAGGACTGAACATATTCAAACGTTTCTTATATCTTTATAAGATCAATAAAATAAAACTGTTCTGAGGTTCAGTACTCAAAATATTTATATGTTTAATACTTTTTATAATAAATAATATTACGCAATATAGATACTTAGGATACAACTCCGAAACTAACTACGTTTGCTGTCAGGATTTAGAAACCAACAAACATGTACATGATTCCTACCATTAGGACTTACACAACCAGTACGCATGTACACGTTTTCCACCTTTAGAATTTGCACAGTTACCTGTTTCTTAGGTTTGAAATCCAACATGCTATATCTTATCATTTTTACATCTAAGATTCAGCGTATTAGTTCGAATCAGAATCCAAAATACTAACATGATTCCTGTTGATGTCCTCCTATATATGTCATCGAACATAACTAAACAATGTTTAGGTTTGATATTTAGTACACCTTATCTTACATAATTCTAATATTTAGCACCAATATATTTGAATATTTCTTACATGCACACACATATGTATATAGCACCAAAGTTACACCATAATTACATTTAGAAGAAACACATTTAGATATCTCTTAACTTTTGAATCCAAGATACGTAATAACCAATAGTACCATCACTACGTTTGGTATCCATTTTTTAAATAGAAATGTCAAAGTTTGGCTTCTGTCAAATATTCAAACGTTTGTTTATTATAATTGCATGCTTCATAGCTCAAACGTGTAAGGCAAACCGCTTTACGAAGGTTGAATATATATGATACGTATTGGCTACTTTATAAATTCACACTTCAAGTCGCCTGTCTGTTAGCAAACAAACCGTATTCGATTTGCTGAAATTTTGCGCTCGTATCCCCTAGCGACTAAAATTGCGGAAAATGTTGTCAGTTTTAGCCGATTTGCGTGTTATAGATCTAGGCATCCCATTTTATAATATTTGACTCTAACACAATTTAGTATGGTTGTCTCTAATGTAGTTACACGATTTATAATGTTTGATTCTAACATAGTTACACAATTAGAATGGTTGTCTCTAATGTAGTTATACGATTTATAATGTTTGATTCTAACATAGTTGCACAATTTAGAATGGTTGTCTCTAATGTAGTTACACGATTTATAATGTTTGATTCTAACATAGTTGCACAATTTAGAATGGTTGTCTCTAATGTAGTTACATGATTTATAATGTTTGACTTTAACATAGTTACACAATTTAGTTTGTTTGTTTGTTTGTTTTTAATTAAGCATAAAGCTACACAATGGGCTATCTGTGCTCTGTCCACCACGGGTATCGGATCCCAGATTCTAGCGTTGTAAGTCCGCAGACATACCGCTGTGCCACTGGGGGGCTACACAATTTAGAATGGTTGTCTCTAATGTAGTTACACGCTTTATAATGTTTGATTCTAACATAGTTGCACAATTTACAATGGTTGACTAACATATTTATATATTTTTTTATGTTTGCTATTAAACATATTCATGTATACTTATATACTTTTGAGAACAACAACATTAATGTTAGGAAGAAATCATCACTGTAACATATAGTTCTTAAATATAGTGTGAAATTTGTTTGTGTATTTAATCTCAGCGAGCAAAAGCCTAACAGTTTTGTCACATTTGTAAACGTATGTACATGAGTTGGGCTTATATGATTATCATCCTTAACCTAGTTAAGTTGAAGCCAAGTAGATTTTCTATCTAATTGTGACTTTTTTACAACATACACAAAAATATAATAGTTAATTATAAAGATATCTAAGCAAACAGTGGACTGTATGGAATGTCATAACTAATTTTATCATCTTACAGAAAAGTTCAAGAGACTGTTAAAAGTTTAAATAAGGGAGGGATTTTCATAGTTCAAATTGTTATCAGAACTCTGATAACACATTAACAAGAGTAAAGTAGGGTTAATTCAAAGCAGCGACAGACGATGGTATTTATTGCTCAGCTCACATTTTCGGGCCTAAGTTCTCCTTTAAAATATGGTAAGTGTCGTTCCTTTCAGCTACATCCCGATGAAAGGCTTAGGCCCAAAACGTGGAGACAAATAACCAACATTATCGTCCACTATTAAAACGTTTATTTATTTATTTTTAACTTGCAATCATTATTTACTTTCTTCAAAACTTAAAACACGTTAGGCTTTCTTAATACTTGTTAAAACTTATGAACTAACCAAAACCGTCAGTGAACTCCTCTAGGGTCAAATAGCCGTTATGGTCTTCATCCAAGGTATCGAATACTTCCTCCAGTTGGTCTGGTGTCAGGGGGAGGTCTCCCCTCAGTCGTTGCATGTCTCGCTTTGTTATGAATCCTTTCTCTTCTTTGTCACATACGTTAAACAGTTCAAAGGCTTTCTGCACGAGGACTTCGCGAAGCTCATTTTTTGGCTCTTCAGCCATATTTTGGTCACTCAAGATATGTTAAACTTTACGTGTTGTTATGATGTGAAACTTTGAAATAAATGACGTAATATCTTTTAGAAGCAATTTAGTTTTTTAGCTTTTTGAATCTGCTGGCATATCAAGATGAGTTGACAAACATCTAGGAAAAGAAAAAGGATAAATTTGTTGGAATTACTTCTGTACAAAAACGAAATTTATGTTAAACATAAACTTAACTTGCTATATAGTATGAAGAATTACATTAAAATAAATTCATATAAATAATATTTTTAACACGGCCGTCATTTCAATAAATGGGTTCTATAAGTTTGTATTTGCATTTCTAAGTAAATTAAAGAAAATGACTAGAAGAGCATGTATTGAATTTGATGCATTATTTCTACTTATGCACGAAAATACAGTATTAGAGGATTTGCGTGTGTGTCACAGGAGGGTACCAGATATTTGATAACCCTTAGTTAAAATATAATTTTTTTGAAATCTCTGTTTTCTTTCAGTTCGTTTTGGACGCAGGGAATCGCTCAAGTAAAGAACCCAACCTCTCCTTACTCTAGCTGCACATTAAACTAGGCTACACTAACTGTTAATTTAGTGTGTTATCTTGCAGGAAAGATAGCAGAGACCTCATTCGTGATGTTTTGGAATAAATGGTTGTCTTTTCTGTCGACGAATCATGTAATAGTCTGGGGTTTCCCTTCCCGTACGCTCGAACGTGTATGGTTCCAAGTTATGTATGCATGGTGCGTACTGTGAGCAGCTTGGCTTTGTGTAGTGTATTGTATTTTTATATTTTAAATCAGGTTATCCCCTGTTAGGCAAAGACTTTATTCAGATTTTACATGTTCTCTGACAATGAGCTAAATATTTTTTTTTTACAGATCTACTCATATTTCTCTTCAGTTTAAATTGCTTTACTTAACACTGCAGGGTTAATTTTGTTTAAGTTTAAGTTTCCTTTCGGCTGGTCACAGTAAACCAATAAGAATTTCTATGAACATTCTCTCTCTCTCTCTCTTGCCAGGTCGAAGCAACCACTGCAAACATTTGCACCTATTTTTTGTTAGTGCGAGTGTATTTGTACTCTATTTTTGCTTATTACAGATTGCTGTTTTATACATTTTATGTGCTGACTGTATCTTTGTTGACGAACACAGTTAGAGTTCAGGGAAACACACATTTATACTCTGTTAAGTAATATACTTAGAGTCTCATGTTCATGTACTCTACGTATTGTTCTGGGTATAACACCACCCTTGCGTTCGAAACAATTGCATAGTTTGTGTGTAGTCGAGATATAACATACCCTAGAAAATTAAGTAAAGAAAGGCAGTCAGTTTTCTAAAGCATGGTTTGAGGCTACAATACAAATTTTGTGCTTTTATGTAAAGTTTACATTTACTACCTTTAGCCACGTGGGCGTGAAAACATAATTCACAACGAATAAAGAATCTTTATTCGTACAAATATATATTATTATACTTGTGGTGTAAGATTTTAAAAAAATAGTGTAAAAACGTTGTATACCTTGGGAAAGTTTTTGACTTCTGAAAAAAAAATATAGAGATTAGGAAAGTTTCTATGTGGGTGAATGTTTTATATATTATGGAAATGTTTGGACATTTCAAAAATATACAACATAATTTTAAAGAATTTGTTATAGAAGTAAAGAGATGATAAAACTAGAATAATGTATATACATAAGACTTGAAAATCTTAAAAAAATTAATATGGGTAAAGATATGACAAGCGCAAAAAAAACTATTTTTTTCAGTGTGAAGATTTGACAAACCCTACACATTAGTATACAAGAAGATATATTATAAATTGTAGAGGGGTTTTCAGATGTTTTAAGATATGAAAATCACAGTTTGTATATATATGGTCAAGATGCAACTCAGATTAAAGAAAAAAGATATGCATAGAAGAGTTTCTCTAAACGTTTAAAGATTTGACAGTCGCTAGGAGAGTTTGTATACTTGTCAAGAAATGAAACCGCGAAAAGTGTTCACGTCCGTGTAAAGATGTTTGTATTTAATTATGCACAAAACTACACAAGGCTATCTGTGCTCTGCCCACCACGGGTATCGAAATCCGGTTTCTAGCATTGTAAGTCCGCAGACATACCGCTGTGCCACTGGGGGGACAAAAGGTATATATATGATTCATAATTGAAACCGTCGGTACTTGGTGAAACTCCACGATTACAGAATTGACGAAAAACAAAGACAAAGGTTTCGCCAGTAAAGGCATCATCAGGTATATGTGTGAATAGACATGAAAGAACTTTAGTTTGTTTGTTTGATGGATTTTGTGGGTTATCTATGCTAGCCGTTCCTAGTTTTTGAAGTGATAGACTAGAGGGATGGCAGCTACCCACCGCCAACACTTTACCTACTCTTGTCATATAGAATAGTGGACTTTTACTCTCACTCTTATAACGCAATAACAGCTCCAAAAGTTTGGAGAGCGATGTCTTTTTTTTTTCAGAGATAATAGGACACGAATCACGTAATCTCAGATTCACAGTGTAGCGAATTAACCACTGGGTTCAAACAGATTCTAAAGATGTTTTTTATGCGTATACAAATATAATTTACATTTACATTTTTAAGTTGTAATTAAACTTAAAAACGCCATTTGAATCTTGACGATTGAATAAAAGCTAGAAACACAGCAGGCGATGATTTGTATCAAACTACTGACATCAGTGATCAAAACAAAAAGCATCGTTGAGATTGAGGTAAACTTCAGTTGCTTCATGTTTGTTTGTTTTTTTATCGAAAACTGCACATACACCTATCTTAACCAGATTTCTATTTGCATGACACCTCTGAAAATGGTTTTACTGGTTAATGAGTACATCTCACATAGACATCAGTTTCTTTTACAATTATTTGGTTTTATAAACAGCGTGATGGTTCAACTGGAGAAGGAGGTGAGAAATGTAAACTGGTTTCCTACATCAAATACTGAAATAAAGTCAATCATTCCACAGATATGAACATTACTCTTAATTTTATCAAATATTATCGCAATAAGCAAGTAAAACCATGTGAAAATTTAAATGTAACCCAGAATTAAAAATAAAAAGTATACTACCACAACTAAAAGTAATAAACATAAAATTAACGTATAGAAATAGTTTCGCTTGGAAATAATAACAAGATTAAACATTCAATAATGTCTGCAAAGTTTGTAAATAATTGAATTCTATATATCAAACTCACTTCTAAACCAAAACGATTAGTAAAAAATAGGAACATTTTATTTTTGTTTTCCATTCTAAATGAACCAGTAAGCACGATTTCACTTTATAAAGAGAAAGATACAAATTCTAAGAATACCCCAGCTGTCACAACTGTAAAATATTCTTCTACCAATACTAATCAAAAGAATGGAGCCATCATGTTTCTCACATGGCTTTATGTAGAAATGCCCTTACTACCTTTTATTCTTGTCTTACCAAAAAAAAAAATTACATATTTCTGAACACTTCAATTTTAGATTAAACCGAAAATTTCCTTTAACAACATTAAAATTTATATAAAATACACCATATTTGTCTGTAGATGTGGTCTAAGTTAATCACTGCAGCCTTTAATAAATATATAAACATCTCAATATTCATTTCCGCTTATTTATTTGACTAAATAAAATTATGCTGTGGTGCATTTTAACTTGATGTACGTAATTAAATATACAAATGCAGGGCCATATATAACGTAAAATACGTCACACACACATAACTATTACACAATCATATATTAACCAGTACATACTTGTAGCAAACGACATCACTATTCATTGGCAATATTGATAGCCATAACAATCAACTACAACGTTCGTTACTCTTCCTGAGTACTGGAGTGCATGTACAACTTTCAGATGTCACGTGCACACGGAATGATATCACAAACATAAATTAATCACAAATGGAAATCAGCAGAAACGACTGTTTCTAAAAATATTCACCATACAGATCATATTCCATTTTGCTAACTGCAAAACATTGTGACGGATTTATTATTCTATATTTAGTTTAATATCGATGTTTAAATTTAATTTATATTTATAAATATA